CGGAGACGATGGAATCCAGAGGCTCGAGTGCCTCACACTTCCGCTTTCTGTTTCCTCTCCCCAGCGTGGCGGTCCCTTGTGCACCTGCAGGTGGACTCCCAGATGAGGATACCAGAAATCGGTCCTCCGTGGTTCTCAGCAGCCCCAGCTCGGCCCCTCCTTGGGGCCCTGATTGCGGCTGGTTGTAAGGCAGGAAAAGGATGCCGTTGAGTGAGTGGCGCCTGGGTCCCTTAGTTTGCAATTGCTTCCACTTTAAGAATTGCTTTCACTTTAAAGGATGATATCTGTCCCTATCCAGAGGGACTCTTGGTAGAGCTCCGTGGCCAAGGCATAAGGGGACTGTCATGATTTCAGGGAGGTAACCTGGAGGTCTCCGAGCACCGGTAGAGGAGGGTGATCATTAGTACAAGTGGCAGGACAGTCCTCCCCTTGCCTGGGGGCAACAAACATGACAGAGCTTTGTTGAAAAGCCAAAATTGGAAACAATTGAACTCATCATCAAAAAGACCATGGATAAACTGAGATATAGTTATCTAATGGAATTCTATTTATTTATTTATTTTTAAAAATTGCTTTATTTTATTTTATTTATTTTTTTGTCAGAGGGCATGCATGCTCACAGGAGGGCTACAGAAAAAAAAAGAGAGAAAGAGGCAAAGTGAGAAAGCACTCCCTGGGGGATGGCCACACCACAATCTCTTCTCCTCCATTCTCCTCTTGGGATTTTCAACACATAGGCACACCTGCCCATCATGTTTTTCAGGCTGCTGGGTCCAGGACTAGAACCATGCAGTCGGTCATGTGGGATTCAGCTGTCTTAACCTCCATGCTATCTGCTGGCCACCTAGTGGAATTCTACACAGTAATCAAAGCAAATGCATTAGAGGTAAACATTTGTAAATTCAAAAACATAATGAATAAAAATACAAGTAAGTTATGTGTACATAGAATTATATACACATATGTATTATGATATTACATATAGTCATTCATGTAAGTTTATACATTACTATATATAAAATTTAGTATATAAAATAATGAAAATCGTGCTATTATTTATTATTTACCTACATAAGCAGTAGTGGTATAAGACATGTGAGAATGATGAACAGGATGGCCATACTCCTTGGGAGGAAAATAGAACCTTGCAGGAATACTCAACATTATCTGTAACATTTCATTCGTTAAAAAAAAAAAAATACCTAAAGCAAATATGGCAAAATATTACAATTTCATAAGGCTGGATGGTGACTGTAAATGCATTTTCCATAGAAGCACTAGACTTTTTTAAATAGGTCATTAGAAAAGTGAAAGATGAGCCAGCCTTGTAGTCCAGTGTTTAAGGGATTTGCAACACACATGGCTGATCACAGTTCAAATCGCAGCCCAGGCAACTTGATTAAAAATAAATGCACTGGACACATGTGTAAGTATGCCTCAAAGCCCAATAGGATGGAGAAATGGAGAAGAAGAGGTTATGGCATGACCACAACCTATTGAAGAGTGCTTGCTTTCTTTCTCTCTCTCTCTCTATCACACACACTGTCTGGCAATTACAAAAAGAAGGAGCCAGACGGTGGTGCAGCAGTAAAACATGACATTCTTCATGGCAGAGTCACATGAGAAGGTTCTCGCTGTCCAGAGGCCTCCCTGAGGATACTGGGCATGTGCGTGTTCGAGATCTGGGGCTGGCTGAAGCTGGGGGCAGAACATGCTGTCAGCAACATACTGGGGGTGCTGCCTCTCTGTCTCTCTCACTCACGGAAGAAGTAAATAAATCTTTAAGAAAATTAAGAAAAGGAAAACTTGGGCTACTTCGATGTCCTTCTGGTCCTTTCCC